TGATCTGACCATGGTAGTCCACGCCTTGGTAACTTCCCATTTGTACTACTGCCAACACTCTCTGTATGGGACCATCTTTGAAGATAGTTTAGAAGCTGCACCTGGTGCAGAGATCGGTAGCCAGGTTACTAACTGGAGCACTGTAACATGAGAGGATGACTCCCATGCTGCGGCAAATCTATTAGCTGCTGATCTGCTTCTGGGCTAAATACAAAGTGCTGGTCGTTACCTCAGCAGTTCAGGCCCAGACTATTTGCAGAACCGCATCTCCGTTTACAACCCAGCTCGAGCACTGTGATCTGTGGAGGAGGCCCTGCTCTCAGTCCCACCCCTGTCTCAAGCATGATTGGTGGAAACGAGAGGGGGCACTTCTGCACAGATCATAGTGCTCGAGCTGGTTTGTAAACAGATTGCTGCCCACCTCTGGAACTCCCTCCCAAAAGAACTAAAAACTGCCCCCTCTCTCCTCCTCTTTCAAAAAGTTGCTAAAACACATCATTGCACTCCAGTGTATGGAGAGGAGGAAGACTAATACGTCTCAACATATATAATTGTCTAGATATATTAAATCCTGTTTAGATACTGGAATTGACCTCAGCCTGTCAGTTGTTGGAAACCGTCATACCTCTTTATAAGGTTTCAGTTGTTTTAAGTGTTTTATTCTGTGTAAATTTATATTACGTGATTATGTCTGCTAGGGTTATCAAGTTTTATTTTCTGGTTAACTTTTATTTGGTATTAAATTTAGAGTTAGGTCGTTTTATATTGTTTGATGTGTCTTGTTTTGATGTAATTTGTGACTGTCTCTTTGCTGGCATTAAATGTTTGCCATATGTGTTGGAGAGATAGGGTATTCTACAATTTTTTTAATTATTATATTATAGCATGCATTCCAAGTTAAGCAGTGTTTCTAGATGAGCAGGTAGAATACCTGTTAAGCACGTTTTTTATGTGACTTCAGGTATTTCTATGCAGTTTCTTCCTCAATTCCTCCAACCTTTCTTTACACACAGGTTAACTATTAATCAGCATTCCTAAAGCAGTTTTCTCAAACAGTTCCTTAGAAACAAACATATCTAAAAAAAAACATTCTTGAAGCTCCCCGAGCCCCCTTAATATAATCCAATTCAAATCAGATAATCTGGATTTTGTATGGCAATGTAGCAAGCATGTTTTCTCCATGACCTGGAAGGTTTTCTTGCACACTTTTCCTGATTTCTCTAAACCAGCCTGCACTAGATATGGCTAGGAACCTTTCCTACATATAATGCCATATAATGTCCATATTAGCAAGAAATCTATTATGTCCCTCATTCAGAATGCTCACTTTGTCTGCACAGAAATAATGATAACACAAAGAGGTTTTTGTAGGAAGACGAAGTTACTTTGAAGTGCTGTGTCTAAGCTGCTTGCACAGAAATAAACAGCAGAATCCCCTGGCTCCACAGGATTTATTTTCAGGTTGCACATCTCCTTCTGGGTCTTCTCAGGAATGAAGCGGTCGAGCTTTTTGCCAGTATCTTCCATGCTTTCATAATAGAAATGAAAGAGGAGTTGTAAATCCTGTCCTCTATCCTGCCTGTACCAGAACATAACATTATGCCCATACGTTTGATTGCATTTGAGCACAGCAGTTTCGCCTTTTTGCACCACGAGACTCAGCGGGGATTGAGTGATCCTCAAATGTGTGCATTCTGAAAAGGAAAAAAAATAATCAAGATCTGTGACTTGGATCTGAATTTTAACAGAGCAATCTAGTACATACTAACCAGAAGAAAATCCCAATGACTTTATGCTCAGATAAGTGATACAGGATTTATAGTCTAAAATAACATGTAAAGCATATGAAGGAGACAGCATAGTAGTGTAGTTTGAGCATTCAAATAGGACACCAGGAGACACAGGTTCAAGTTTGCACTCAGCCATGGAAACCCATGGGTGAACTTGAGTGAGCCTCAGAGGATGCCTCATTTACACTGTTTCTGAATCCAGTTTCCAAATCCAGATTATCTGCCTTGAACTGGATTATATGGTAAAGTAGACTCATATAATCCAGTTCAAGGCAGATCAGCCAGACTGAGAAACTGAATTATATGGCAGTGTAGATCCAACCATTCTCAAGGGCAAACCCCCTCCGACCAAACCTTGCCAATAGGTTTGCCTTCGGATCACCATAAGTCAGAAATGACTTGAAGGCACGTAACAACAGTAACAGCAGCAACAACAAAAGCAACATGCATATGAAGGAATTTGTAGCTAAACACCTGCCTGCTTGAAAGAGGAGAATAGTCATACACCAACCAATCCTCATCTTTGCTTCTCTGGGTGGTGTTCACACTTCCTTCTTTGGTAACAGTCTGGTTCTTCCCATGTGACATCAAAAATGCCGATATATTATTCAAGACAGAGCATACTAGTTCTTCACTTTAGAAACAAAGTAGGAGTATTCAGAAGCATTGAGGGCAAAATATAGTTCTTAAAATTATGCAGGGACCACAAGATACTCCCCCTACAGTTGGTACCAAACAGGATGTTTTGTGGATGATGACGTTTAGGAATTTGGCTTACTCACAAGCAAAATGGAAAAAATGTCATAGGTTAAAGAGTAATAAGTTACAGCTAGCAGGTAGAAGTGCCATGTGCTGGTACAATTACTTATTCACTTCTCTTAGTCCCTGTGTTTCACAAAAATTACACATTTAACTTTCACTTTTTAATGATAAATTTTATTTGGAAAAGGTAACGCCAAACCCACAAACAGAAAAAAGCAAGAATATAAACCATAAGACAAAATACATAAACAGTAAATATTCATTTTTTTGTAATATGAAAACATACTACTGCATCCACTAGAAGTCCTCATCACTAAACATCATCTACACACAAATCTAAAGACTTTACACTCTTCCTGGGAATTTTATTTCCTCAATTTTCCACACCCAATCAAAGAAGCAAAACTATTAATACATCCTTTCTCCATAAAATGACACTCTTCTAATTAAAAAAAACACATAATAGTTTGCTGAAGAAAGATAATAAACAAGTCCCAGTCTTTATTGAAATTGGTTATTTGTCCATTTCTGCTAATTCACACATCTTCTTGTGTCAGAGCAATTGCTTCTTTTTATCTTCGAGCTTAGATCAATGGTTCTCAACCTGTGGGTGCCCAGATGTTTTGGCCTTCAACCCCCAGAAATCCTAACAGCTGGTAAACTGGCTGGGATTTCTGGAAGTTGTAGGCCAAAACACCTGGGGACCCACAGGTTGAGAACCAGTGGCCTAGATGATTCTTGCTTCCATAGTCATATATAACATTAGTCTTTTTCATTTTCTATCAAATAGAGTTCAGGTTTCATTACAAATTTATATTTAACCATTTCTTCTAGTAGCAGATGTATTTGCACCCAATACTTCTGGACCTTTTTTCAGGACAACTACATACCAACACTTTCACCACATTCCCAACAATTCCTGGGCATAAAGGAATTGAAGGCACATAACAACAAAAGTATAGGCTGATCTACTCCATTGTTTTTTAGGTGTCCGGAAAGGTAAGAACAGTTGACCTGTGACCTTAGTCAAGAAAGGAATTGTGGTGACCTGTCAAAGGATGTCCTTTGAAAGATCCAGCTATAAGAATTACATGGAAATACTATCTCCTATTGAATACAAGGTATTATGAATCACAAATAGGAGAAAAATGTTTGTGGACATCCAAGGGCCAGCTAGTTGGCATCTACAAAGAAACAGAGGACTAATGTGCTAGGCATATATTAACTTGGAATTTGCCAGAGTTGTTTTTTTTTTTTTTGGAAAATTAGTAATGTTAAAACTACAGGTTATCTCCCCCCTCTCTTCATATTCTTGCTTTCTTGTTATCCAAGGATACAATAGTTGTTTTTACAAATAATTTTGTTTGTAAAGGGTAAACATTTGGTTCCAACAACAGGGTTATTTCTCTGCCAAATAAATGTGATGTAGTGTGCCAGATATTTTATTTTATTTTGATAGAAACTTATCTTTATTTGTTTTTCTAGTTCAAGCTGCTGCAGCTGTCCCTGATACTGCAGACATGCTTGAAGAGCATATGCTAAATTTGTGTGGAAACACCAGTGTATTCAACTTTGCACAATGCTCACTTTCATCTGATATTCTACAGGAGGCTGGTTTTTCTATAGAATTAGTTTTTTTGATCTGATGTCATAAGGTGGCCAGAGTTCAGAAACGATTCAATGACATTGTGAAGATCTTGATCTAAGTTTGAAGATCTTGAATTAAAATGATTGAACAGATTTTATGCTTATTACCTTTGCAATTGATATCAAATTAAGATGGGTAGGTTCAGAGGGCAAGAATAGAATTCAAACTTACCATAACCGATTAGAGAACTGGGCTAAAAATAACCAAATCAATTCCAGTGGGAAGAAATATAATGTACCACATCTCTCTATGTATAAGTAAAGTGTGTCTGTCTGTCTATATCACAAAGGCTTCATGCCCTCTCTGGTGTCACTGGATTGGCTCTTGCCCTATGTGAAATCACTGGGAAAGAAAGCTGACGTGTGTATGAGGGGAAGGGAGGTAGGAAGGAAAGAGCCACAAGGAAAGGGGGAAAGATATGAGTGGAGAGTAGGAAAGAAAGAAGGAATGAAAGCAGAGGGACAGTGGCCCCTCCAACACTCAGGCAGTTCTGGATATATACCGTATTTTCCGGCGTACTAGACAACTGGGCACATAAAACAACCCTCCCTCCCCAATTTTTCAATTTAAAAAATCATTTTTAATATACTTGCTGTATTAGACTACCCCTCTTGCCAGTCCCTTCCAGTGTCGCTTGGCTCCCGCTGCTGGGTTTCAGCCTTCCCAAGGGGCTCCTCCACTCCATGCCCGCCTCGTCTGTCAGTGCAGCAGTGGAGGAGGCAACGTGGCCGTCCGGCGAGTATATTGCCTCCTCCACCACCGCACTGACAGCCAAGGCGGGCATGGAATGAAAGAGCCCCTCAGGGAGGCTGAAGTGGGAGCCAAGTAGTGCTGGAGGAGCACAGCAGCTGCTGCTGCTTCAGGCGGCCTGCTCCAGTGCACGGCAGCTGCCCGCCTCCCTCACTGGTTAGTGTAGAGAAGTGTTTATTATAAAGGGTTTATTGTACTGTGTTTAAACTGTATTTATGTTTTACATGCG